CCTCCTCCACCTCCACCTGACAGACTGAGAGGACAACAAACACAACATGAGCTGTACAAAGTGTGATTGGTGCTCACAGAGCAGCATCATGTGACTCTTGTTCTGCACTAAATGAAGCGATGGAGTGGCGCCTCCTTCAGGCAGAGAAACAGCTCATGGAGAGAAATAATTCCATCCATCCATCCTCTTCTGCTTATCTGGGGCCAGGTCGCAGGGGCAGCAGTCTATGCAACAAAGCCCACACCTCCCTCTCCAGCCACCTCCTACAGCTTTTCCAGGGAAACAGCAAGGCGTTCCCAGGCCAGGTGAGAGATATGATCTCATTAGCATGTCCTGGGTCTACTCCAGGGCCTCCTTCCAGTGGAACATGCCTGGAACAACTCAAATGTCTTGATGCATGCTCAATCATCCAGGTAAGTAAATTCCAAATTCTGTTCATCTGGACATAGTGTTTTCAGTGGGGAAAACGTTTCATCATCATCCAAGTGACTTCTTCAGTCTCAGCTGACTGCAGGTTTCCCCAATCTTATAAACAATACATTTGCATTCTAAGGAGCTTGGCCCATCTTCAAGAAACTTAAAGAAGTCCAGACACTTTTCTTTCCAAGCTCCTTAGACTACAATGACCTGGATGACTGAGAACAGTACAGTACATTTGCATAATGACTGAAACTAGCACCACTGAATGAACAAGGGGCTGAGAGGTCAGGTTGTTTATTTGCAAGTTGTCATGACCATTGATCAAAGCTCACTGATCAAAGACCACTGATCAATGGCCATGAGTACCATTCACAGAGAGTTGAGGAATGTCTGCAATCACAGCATTGTAAGATGGTCACAGATGTACCCTCCTCGATTCAGAGATGGTCTTTCCCTTTTCATGTAAATGGCCTCCTTGACTTTGCCCTATTAGCACCTCGTCCTTTACTCTCGCGCTGCTCCGTGTGGCAAATCGAGCGCACCTCTCTGCATTTCAAACACGCGTCACAACAATTAAGAGCACCCGAGGCAAGCTCGGAAAGCCAAGCAGAAGTTATTTGTAGAGATGAGAGGATAATGGCTGCTGAAGAAAGAATGCTGTTGGTTGAAAAGAGAAGTAAAACAACTTCAGTGGTTGGAAACATTATGGGTTGGCGGAGTCAGACGTGGATCAAGCAGACATAGTGTGTAAACTTTGCTACGGTGTCGTAGCTGCACCACAGAGCAACACTACAAATTGACATACCTCAATGTCAGTTTGATGCAATTGTGCATTGTGTGGCTACACAGCTTGCCTTGATGTTTGGTTATTTGTATGCATAAATATTATGCAGTATTTTGAAGTTCACTAAACATAGATGTTTACATTTTTCATTTATTTTTTATATTGCAAACATTTGCACTGTTATCAGTATTTGCACACTATTTTATATGATTTTTTGACAATCTTTAAAGCCATTATTCAACACATTGTTATTGTTAAATAAATATCGTCAAATAATCAAGATCTCAATTTCAGTGAAAAAAATCGTGATTATCATTTTTGCCATAATCGAGCAGCCCTACCTTGAGGCGACTGTTGTTGTGATTTGGCACTATATAAATAAAATTGTATTGAATTTTCATTTACAGCTGTAAAGTACCTCTACATGATGCTGTGGGTGGTGTCAAACTTACTGCAGCAAGTGTGGCTCTGTTTATTGTCAGTGAGTCAAATTGCCAATTTAAATAGTATTTTATCTGTATTAACTTAGAATCCATGGACACATCATTTTCACTCTTATTATCTTTCACTTCACAATAAAAGCCTCATATTTATGGCTGCTACACCCTGACATTTGACAACACCCAAATGACTGGATCATGGTAAATGGTAAACTGGTTCTCATATAGTGCTGACAATCACATGCATTCATACTCTGATAGACAAAACTAACAAAACTACTGATTTGATCCAAACTCAATCACACCAGAGGCTTTTATTTTGAAGTTAGGATAGTTAAAACTTCATTTTTAATCGTCTTCTTAGTCTGTTCATTTAAATGGACAGTTGCTCCACCTGACATTTTTGGCTTTTACATCAAAACATTAAAGATTTTATATCATTTGAATAAACTAAAAATAGATTAAAAAGCTTTTAGAAAATAAACTCCTACATGACCTCTGACCTTCAACCTGTATCTACAGCACTGACCTCTGACTTTCAGCTTCACTTGCTTCTTCAGGAGGATGTTTCCCTCCACGCTGTAGACGGTGCAGGTGTAGATGGAGTTGTCTTCCTCTGTGGGGTGTTTCAGGGTCAGACTGAGGTCTCCAGTTCTCAGCAGGTCTTCATTCATCTTCGTTCGGCCTCTGTAATCCTGGTGCTGTTCTTCAGGCTGGTCAGAGCCGTTCTCATATACGTGGACCTTCCTGTTGCCTCGTTCCTTCCACTCTACTTTAGCAACTTCAAGCAGGTGAAGTGTGGTTTTGCAGGGCAGCTCGACATATTCAACCTCAGAGTGCTCTGGCTTCACCTCAGCGTAATCTGTGGGACAACATAGGAGAAAACAAGGTTGGATGGAGACATTTGTGTTGACTGCTGCACGCTGCTTCACTGGTAATGCATTGTACCTCATTCAGACCCATTGTTAGCAGCATAAACTCAGCCACTTACAACATTTTGAAACACCTTGCATCCTTGCAACTCACATCACATCAAGAACTCCACCGACTTCACCGACAAGGTCCAGAAACTTACCCTGGATCCAGATGAAACCATGGTGTCCTTTGATGTAATCTCTCTCTTCACATGCATAACCACCACGGAGGTCGTGGAGACTGTCAGAAAATGCCTACAAGAAGACAGAACCAACTTCACCCCTGATCAGATTTGCACGCTGTTAGACCTCTGCCTCACCACCACATATTTCAAACGCAACAAGGGTTTCTACAGGCGAAAACATGGCTGTGCCATGTAGCCAACCTTTACATGGAGGAAGTGGAAAGAAAGGCTCTTGGCTCTTTCAAGGGGAGAGTACCCAGCCACTGGTACAGATATGTAGAGACAACTGAGTCAAAATCAAAACACAAGAAGTGGAATCCTTCACAGTAGAGCAGGGCGATATTACCAAAAATATTTATCACGATATACATTTGAAAATTTGCCATAACGATATAACAGATGATATAATTGACACTAGACAAAATACAACTCCACAACTTTATTAGTGCAAAAAAAAAAACCATCAATGTTTTTTCAATTAAACAAGCAGCAGTTTTTTATGTGAATTAAAGTTATATAAAAATGTAACAGTGCAAATTCCTCGCTGACAGTTTAACCAAAAGGCATTTCCAGTGGAAATTGCCAACACATCCTCAGCATAACCATGTATCCACAAAACTTAAAAAGATGTTATACAAACAATACGGTAATATTATGTTGAAGCGCAGTATGTATCACTCTGCGAGGCTCCTGCCTATGATAGCCGTAATGCTCCAACAATCCATCAAGCGGTGCGGGTTAGTAGGTTAGCAAAGTCGCACTAAAACATTTGACAGATTTTCGAGCGCCGTGTACCACATAAAAGTTTTGAGGTGAGTAAACACAACCAGAATTCATACATAAGGCACACGGGATTATAAGGGGCACTGTCGATTTTCAGAAAAATCAAAGGATTGATTTTAAGTGTGCCGTATTTTCCAAAAAACACGGTAATATGGCGTGGTCTATCAAAAATAGTGCCTTGTTGTGTATCTGACGGACGAAAGCTAAACCAGTTCCACACCGCTGAAGTTGCAGCATTTTTACAAACCAATTCTGGTTCATCTGTTTCATTTAACGATCCGCTTTCGCTCTTCTCATTCTGCGTCGCTGCCATGTGCGTATATAAACAAAGGCACTGCGCATGCATGTTTTACCCATATTCTATCGCCATATTTCAGTTTCTTATCGTTGCCCAAAATTACACCGGTATTACCGTGAACGTTTTGATATAGCCCAGCCCTACTTCACAGTGCACATAAACGCTGTGGATAAAAACATCTACAGCACTGACCAGGGAAGACACAAAGGATAGCTGTTTGCCTTTCCTGGACTGCGCCGTGTGCATTGAAGAGAATGGGAACCTGAAGGATTATTATATTATCTTATGCCACGTTATAGACCTAATTAAAGATTGTGAAATTATTATGTAGTTTTAGTTTGCATTATTTCTCCTGACTCAGAAGAAGGTGGTAACTATTATATTTATTAAACTGATTTGTATTACATTAGACTGCTGATTTGTGGTGAATGAATGATATTGTTTTATGATGCATTATACTGCTGAGTTATAAGAAATACTGTTTTCAGAGAGTCATGGCCTTATTTGTCTGATTAGAAAAGAACAGAACATACTGCACAGGAAGCCAAGGTCATAAGCTCACTGAGAGAGAAAGAATGTGGATGTTTAGGTTTTATGACTAGGTGGGGGCCTCCTGAAGCTATAAGAATGTGAGAAATGCTCAGACACGTCGAGATCAGGCGGATACCCTCCCGTAACAATGTGTAAGCTGTACAGTTTAGCGAGGAATGCCCAGACCTCTACATTGGAGAGACTAAACAGCCACTTCACAAACGTATGACACAACTGTGAGCAACCATCTTTGAACAGAGTTGGTGGTTGGTGATGTGTGACTCATCACATAAACCAAGATGTGAGAAAGGGTGTAGCCCATTATCAGCCATTATTGGGTAAACCAATTGTTAGACCTTGCCCCACCATAAGATGACTTATTGAGGTAAAAATGTGAGTGGGTGTTAAGGCGTCTGGGGAGGGATCTCAAAACTGGATTATTGATGACAGACAGTTGGTGTCGTAAACCACCGCCTCTGTTCAAAGATGGTCACTCACAGTGGACATAGATGGCTTCTTTCACTCCTCTTTCAAACCGTCTGTCCTCTCTGTCCAGAGTGTGAACATTGGCATCCTCGAAAGAGTGTCCCCAGACACCCCAAGCCTGTACCTACCCCATCATCAACCATCAACCTCCATGTCAGTTATGAAGTGCATCACAACTCCATTTAAGTCTCCGTTTGTTAACTGCAGAGGTCTGAGACGTCACACAGCTTTGGATGATAACATGGAGAAAGGATGTGGAGATTTTCACACTTCTGCTAGAAATCATCTTCTAGTTATTGTGACTCAGATATGACTGATTATAGATGAGGACCAAAGAAGGTTTTTACTGAGATTTGAGCTGACTTAGCTTAGCCTGTGTTTTAGCCACATGCTAACCAAACACATGTTCAGAAACTAGAAGATGTTACCTTTCAGATGAAGTCTCACACATGAACTTTGCTCCTACAGTTCATCTGCTGAAGCTTCTACATTTGGGTGGAAATCAAATAAAAACCAGAACAGCCACAAACATCAGACATGCTAACACTGTAACATTATTGGATGGAGCCCGCTGAGACTGAACCACCATCATGAGTCTGACCTCTGACCTGTATCTACAGCACTGACCTCTGAAGATGAGCACCACATCTTTCTTCATCAGGATGTTTCCCTCGTTGCTGTAAACAGTGCAGGTGTAGGTGTTTGTGTCTTCATCTGTGGGGTGTTTCAGGGTCAGACTGAGGTCTCCAGATTTCAGTAGGCTTCTCTTCATCTCTGTTCGGCCTCTGTAATCCTCATGCTGTTTTTTAGACTGGTCAGAGCCGTTCTGATACACGTGGACCTTCCTGTCATACATAGAACCATCCTTCAACTCCACTATAGCGTCTTTGGGCAGGCGGAGTGTGGTTTTGCAGGGCGGCTGGACAGACTCCACCCCTGGATCCACCTCCACCTGGTAAACTGAGAGGACAACAAAGCACAACATTATAACATGGTCACGTGACCTCCCTGTCCCTCCTTGTCTTCTAGTCTCAGTCAGATTGTGTCTCAGTTTGTTCCTGATGTGTTCCTGACTCGTTCTTTGGTAACTCGTCTGCAGCGTCCTGTAAAGTGCTGCAGACATGTTGGATGAAGAAGCACAGACAGACTGAGCCTCCACAGTCGGCCATGTCTCACACACATCAGCACAGAAACCAT